ATGTTCTGGGCTGGCGCTGTCTTCCTGTGTGAAGCGCCAGACCCATTCACACTATGAAACGATGACGATGATGTATGTTCAGGGCTGCATTACAACATTGATTGTTCGGATCACTGGTATCTAAGTCTTCCGCTGTGTTATCGTGTACTTTGTATTGAAAGGTCGGTTCTTGTTCTGGTCTGCACGTTACAGTATGCAACAGGGAGCCAGCCAGGGAGCGGGTGAGGGAGTGGAGTGAGGGAGGGAGGGAGGGAGCGGGGAACAGGGAGCGGGGAGCGAGGAAGTAAGTCAGGAGTGAGTGAGTGAGTGAGTGCGGGAGGAAGGGAGGGAGGGAGGGAGGGAGGGAGGGAGGAGTGAGCCAGGGAGCGAGTGAGTGAGGGAGGGAGGGAGGGAGCCAGGGAGCGGGTGAGGGAGTGGAGTTAGTGAGGGAGGGAGGGAGCGGGGAGCGAGGAAGTAAGTCAGGAGTGAGTGAGTGCGGGAGGAAGGGAGGGAAGGAGGGTGTGACGAGGCGGAGGTAGAGTAGCGAGGTCGGGGAAGAGAGAGGGTGGGAGTGAGAGCACACACACACACTCACTCAACTCGACACTGACTCGACACGACTTGACGGACAGAGACACAAAGTGGCAAAGTCGCAAAGTCGCAATCTTGGTTCCGTACACAATGTCACAGCAAGTCACACTGAAGCACAAGTACTGAGGCCGAAAACTGAATGCCCGAACTCAGCTTGAGTCCGATCTTAAGGACCAGACTCAAGTTGAGTCCAAGGGCAGAAGTGCAATTTGCCTCGGGCCCGAACTGAAAATCGAAGGTCTGAGCCTGGGCGCCAGAATGCCGGATGGCGCCAAGTATCGAAATCCGAAAGTGCCAGAGGCAGGGTTTGAGAACGGGCGCCAACTGCAGAGGGCGCCAACAGTCAGGAACCGGAGATCAGAAACTCAAAAAAAAAAAAAAAAGCAGCCTGGCGGGTGGTAACCCGCGGACCAGGGATCGAACCCTGGCTGAGTCCGTAACAGAGGGAGGGAGGGAGGAGTGAGCCAGGGAGCGAGTGAGGGAGTGATGGATGGATGGATGGATGGATGGAGGGAGGGAGGGAGGGAGGGAGGGAGGGAATCAGAAGCAAGTGAGTGACTGAGTCAGCTGGCGAGCTAGTGAATTAATTAATGGTCTTATTATTAAGTTATTAACGCTGTGATGTGAATGCCTTCGTTGCTCTCCCGTGGCTCAGTTGAATGCAAAACCTGCTGTGTTTGGCTGGTGGGGCCCGTCTTGTTGGTGTGCAGGGGAGCATTGGGGCGTGCGTTGCTAAACCTATCCATTGAGAATGTGCCGAAGGCACTCCACATATGCTTGCTCTCTGATGAGGGCTTCTCTGATGCAGAGAACAGAGAAGGAAAAGCATTGTGTGATGCTGTTTGTGCCTGGTGTGCTTTTGCATGCTATGCTTGTGGCATGGCGAGAGGATGTCACTCAACCCCGTTCGACCATCATACCCAAGCAGAGCAGCTACAGACTCTGTGCCGCAAACTACAAAGGTAAGTAAGTTTGTTCAACTTTGTTGATTTGTTGAAATGTTTTTCCGAATGGTTTCATAACTACCTGCCCGGAATGAGTCCGGAGCTTAGGAAAGTTCTAGTGTGTGTATGCTCTAACTTCCAAGGCCATAAGCTCAGAACCGTTCGTAAATGTATTGGGCCGCGATTGTGGCTCTAATTACGGTCAGGTACATTTAGGAAAGTTGTAGTTTCAGTATGGTCTTAGAACGCCCATTTTGTCAGAACGGAGATTTTTTATTCGCTGAACAAAATCGAGGTACCCTCATAAGAGAAATTTTGGCATTTTCCTAACTTACCAGGGTGGACATCCGGGAACCCCCCGAGTATCGGGGTCGTCCGATCGGACAACTGGCCCGAACGTCCACATCCACCCCCTACAAAAAAATAGGGGGGACGCGGTTTGGGGGCCATGAGGGTGGGAAGGAGGATGGCGGCTACTAGGGGAGGCCCTTTTTTTAAGCCGGTTGGGCCTCCAAAAGCGAAAAAAAAAACGCCCCATCTGATATGACGGACCAGATTGGGCCTGTTAATAATTTCAAATTTGAATTTCGTCGGCAACTGCTGCAGCCCAACCACCCCCGACATGTTTTTTTGGGGGGGTCTCCAAATGGGCCCAGATTTTCTTCTGGCGGTCCCCTCGCCGAGTGTGGGGGGTGCCAATGTTCACCACACATGGGCCTTACAGATCGTTGGCTGAAAATGAGCGGTCCGCAATCCCGCACAACTGGTGTCCCGAACATCCGACCCGATTGTTCGTGTTCGTCCCAAGTGTCCACCGGTGATCGGACACCTGGTAGCCTTTTTCAACAAAGCCCGATTTTGGTCACCAAAAAAAAAAAAAAACAATGTCCGTTTTGACGAAATGGCAGCTTAAAAAAAATAAAAATAAAAAAAACAACAAGTTTTAGAAGATACCGTGGATACCACGGACTCGCACACTGGACGGTCTGGACTGGGTTCTGGGGCTGCGCTACAGAATTGGTTTTATTTTTGTTTTGATTTTTCTGTCGGATTTGGTTTTGTCTTTTTTTTTTTTTGTCGGCATGACCTCCTCCGGCAAAAGTTGTTTGTAACTTTGTATTGCAAATCCACAACTCTGCGCTCGCAACTTTTTTTTACCCTGAATTTTCAATTTTGGACATATTCTGAAAAGTTGAAAACTAGGAATTTGGAAAAAAAAAAAAAGGACAAAACAAAATGAAGTCCGGACAGCTGCAACATCCAGATCCAGACTTCGGATGTTCGCGGACTCTCTAGATCCCCCCCTGGTCCGTGGGTCTGTCCAGGGGGTCTCAATGGTAGCCATGATCAGAAAATATGATGTGAAGTTTTGGTTGGTATGTGACATGTGTGTGCAAGGGTGTGTGCTTTCTTGTTAACCTTGGCACGAGGCTCCACATTGGAAAAAAGAAAAAAAAAGGGGGGAAAAAAAAGGGAGGGGGGGAAGGGGAAAAAGGGGGAAAAAAGGGGAAAAAAGGGAAAAAAAGGAAAAAAGGAAAAAAGGGAAAAAAGGGAAAAAAGGAAAAAGAAGGAAAACGAAGGGGGGAAAAGGGGGAAAAAGAAGGGAAAAAGAAGGGAAAAAGAAGGGAAAAAAGGGAAACGAAGGGGGAATAAGAAAAGAAAAAAAAAAGGGGGGGGGGGGGGGGAGAAACATGAAATTGGCAAACTCGTGTATTACATCATTGAGAGACCCTCATGCTTCCTTCCGTTTGGCGGTGAGTCCGGTTCTTTTTTCCATCGGCAAGTCATGATTTTATTTATTTTCATTTTTTTTCAAGTCATGATTTCAAACTCTACAAACAGCCTGGACTTTTATATAATTAAAAAAAAAGGGAAAAAAAATAAAAAAAGATTTCAGAATAGTATTACCCCCACAAACATTCTTCCGTAAGTGACAGTTGATCTTCGGGGTGACATCTTCTCCGTTCCTGGCCGTTGATCTTTGTAGTCGTCAATCCGCAATCATCGAGTTGTTACTTGTGTGGAAAATCTTAGACGAAGTTTGTGATGGTTACGGAAGGCCACGGCATGCCATGGTCTGCTGAGCCTGGTGGCAGTTCCAACGAGCGGCTGGGCCCCTGGCCCCCAAGATAAAGGGGGAAGAGTAGCCTCACAACCTTTACAGCCTGTTGTTGGTTAAGCGTCGATTTCGCCAAGCAGAAAGTAGCGAGCTCGATTCCCCGTTTGGAATTAGATATGTGTGCGACTAAGTCCTCATTTTGGACTAGCGTGTTCACCCGAATAGAACGCCTGGTCATTATCGCTGTACGTAGACTGAAAATTGCCCCAAATACAGCCTACAGTGACCGAGCGCTCTACTCGTTGTGCACCGACAAAAGCTTGTCGAGCAATCCGTTGTGTTAGATGGGAAGGGAGCCACCGTCTTCATCCGAATAGAACGCCGCCCGGTCATTATACCTGTATTTGGTGCAACTTCCAGACCATGTACAGCGATAATGACCGGGCGTTCTATTCGGGTGAAGACGGGAGCAGGCAACATGAACTCCTAAACTAACCTGTGGCTAGATCGGAAGGGAGCTAGCAGGCAGTGTGGGTTATAAATGCTAACCAGTTGTAACAAACAGTCTTCCTCCGAACACAACGCACCCGCATTCAGGCCGTACCTGACCGGAAATATAGCCGGTATACATCCATTACCAGGGTGCGTTATGTTCGGGGGAAGACGGTAGCGTATAGTCAATGACACACGGTTGACTATTCTGATGTGGGCGCCAACACACTTTCACTTCTGTTACTTCTGTAATTGGGATTGTTTATCTCGTTACGAAGTCGCATGCGGGGACTCGGTTTGTGTCCATCTTTGTTGTGCTGTTGTGGTGTGGAGTCGTGTCGACGTTCCGTTGTACCCGTAAATGCACTTTCCAAATGTGTTTGTCCTGTCTCTTGTTCCTGGCAGACTAGTCCACATGAACCCGAGCAATGGCTCGGCGCGTCTGCTGATGATCGCCACAGGTCTTCAGCGTGCCCGTTCCCTGCATTACCCATCAGGCCTTTGCACAGGCCTCCTGCGCGCCTCCATGCAATCTCTGTCGTTGTCGGTAAAGGAAGGACTGTCGCCGCTGGAACGTGCGCTTTTGGCAATTTGCGCATCGGAGCTAGCTCTTCACGTCCGCAAGGATGGAGCCATCTCCCTTGGGTTGAGGTTAGCGAAGAAAGCTGTGCAGGTGGCGAACGTGCCAGACTCGAAGCCTGAATCACCTCTGCATGCCGTCTCCCCTCTTGTCCGGCGACAAATCGGCCGTTGTCACGCAGCCGCCGGTGAATGGCACCAGGCTTTTCTCGCGCACCAGGAGGCGATGAGCGATGCTCTTGAGCGTTTCGACTTTCCGGCAGCTTTGGAGGTATTGGAGGCCATGTACCTTGTTGGCAAGAAGAGTGAAGCTGAGGTTGAGCTGCGCCGGTTTGAGCAGGCGGTTCAGCAAATGGGTACGGTTGGAGAAAAGAACGTTTGGCTTGGAGCTCTTCGTGCGCTGCAGGGTCAAACGAAGGGCGACGAGGGTGACGGCCCAGCAGCGGTCCGCTTCACGTCGGAAGCCGTCACATGGACTGACGAAGACAATGCAGTGCTGCATTATCTTGATGGTCGGTATAGTATATGATTCCCACGCACTGTGCCAGCCTTTAACAGAATATGGGCCTCACCACCACACGACTGTCGAAACGGGAAAAGTATGAGTGCATCGTTCCACCAAGAATGGCAAGAAAATTTGGTTACTATGAATAGCAACTGCCAACGGGTGCATCTTACCGCTTTCTGGGGAAGATGCATTCGTTCGTTTTACGTTACGACAGTGGTGTGTCGAGGCTTCATACATCGGTTTCTCGCTGTAGTCCCTACTCCTTTGCTCCCCCTTTTCTCCAAACCTACTCTCCCACCCTCTCCTATAACCTCCGTTCTCTCTCATGGCAACTCTGAACCTGGTCCGTTTCCTCCTCCTCATCCTTCCAAACTCCCTCCCTGCCAAATCTGAACCTACTCCTCCCTCCCTACTCCCTTGGCCTTGAGGTATTTTCATCGGACTAACCAGCCCAGGTACATTGAATCTTGTGTCTAATCTGACACCGGGTGGCCTTTTCAGCCCAGGGTGGCCTTTATTTATTGGCTTCAGGGAAACCCCCAATGGGGGTGGAGGACACCGGCCAGGGGACACCCGGTAGCAGAGGGACCGATCATAATCTGAGTGGCCAGTCGCTGTGCCTCCCCCCCGATTACCCCTCCTCCCCCTATGAACATATCAGCAGAGACTGCTTTTTAATGCCAATTAGGGGGACCAATTGGCTATCTGGTGGCGGGCGCCGAACATGCCCAGGAAGGTACATGAGGCGAATGGGGATTGAACCCAAGACCTCCTGAATGCCACTTGCGTGTCTTACCAACTGAGCTAGGCCGCTGGATTCCCTACCAAATCTAAACCTACTCCTCCCTCCCTACTCCCTGCCTCCTTTTCTCTAAACCTACTCTCTGAATCCCCTTCCCCACCATCCTGAGCCCCCCTTTTCTATTTCATGCTGTCTTTTTCCTCCCTCCAGCACTCCAAGCCTACCTGCCCAAACCTAACTCTAAACCTCGTGCCAACCTATCGTATGACCCACATCAATCCTTCGGCAATGGTTAGGCTGGCCATGTGGTCCCCACCACCCACCTCACACTGTGGTGCCAGTGAGGCTCCTACACAACATATTTTCCCTGTCATGTAGGTTCCCAGACATGCGCTACCGCCTTCCCCCGAATAGAACGTACAGTCATCATCTGTATTTTGGGACAGCTTTCAGTCCAGATACAGCGATAATGGCCTTACGCTCTATTCGGGTGAAGCCGGCAGTGAAGAAGGGGCATCCTGCAATGTTTGTGCAATGTTTCTGGAGAGTTAGCAAGAGAGAGAGAGAGAGAGAGAGAGAGAGAGAGAGAGAGAGAGTTGAGATTATTGGTGATGTGTAAACATGCTGATGACTTTCCTATTCAGGTAAAAGAAGTTGCACAGGAGCGTCAGCGAAGATGTGGGCAGTTGTTGTATGGAAGGATCAAAGGCCCCGACCGCACGAACTGATGGTGAAAGGTCTTGTTTGTCCAACTAACTTTTTGGCCATGTGGCTGTCATCTCACCAGGAGCGCTTAGGCTGGAGTCGGCCGAGGCTGAGAAGGACATTGAGGGTGTTGTGCTGGCAAAGCGCAGTCTGGGTAGAGCCCTCATTATGACCCAGAGTGAGCTTGGGAAACCAAAAGTCTCTCCTCTCTCCCATGCAGGAGTTGGTGCTGGAATAGGGGGGATATATCTTCTGCTGGCCCGTGCAGAGATGCTCTCCAATCGAGGGGCCCCTCCCTCCGCTTCACGGCTTGCCAAGTGGACTGACCTCATCAAACATGAGTGGAGCCTATGGCCTAGAGGTTCGTAACTTCATGTGCTTTGAGTTGATTTTCCTCCCTCTGCACTCGGCCTTTTTTTTTTTTTTTTTTTTTTTTGGAGGGGGGGGGTGGTGCGGGCGGGAGGGCACGGGGGGGAGACAAGGGTTCCGTCGTTCTGCATGCAATCCACACTATGAACACATCTGCACGGTCTCTACTGTCTTCACTGGAATAGAATGCCTGGTCGTTATCACTGTATGT